GCCTCATGTCTCATGTCAAGTCATCATTTCTGCAATAGTATATCTTTGTTTTATTTTCTTAATGTTTTATTTTATGGACATTTTGGTTTGTACCCACATGCATGAGTGAGAGCAAAGTATTCAAGAATCTGTACTTGCCGACTTAATAAATGGTCACAGAGAAAAACTAGGCATCACACACTAACAGACTTGTCAAGTCGTTCTGAACACAAGAAACAAAAGGAGACACATTACAAATGAAAAAAAAAAAAAAAAGCGTTTTCTAAAATTGTGATTTTGAATTTGAAAAACAGTCTACGCCCATTATGCACAATGCAATTTTCTGTGAAATCTGTCAACTCTGATTGCCCGAATTTTTTCAGTGTTTTTGGCCCTGACGTTCCACAACTAGCGTCAACTCATTCACTTTGCAATTTGGGGCAAAAATCTGTGCGAAAGCTGTGTAGTATTCCAGTCTTTGCTAGCTTCAGCTTAATGGTTTGAGATAAATAGTTGCAATAATGTACAAATAAAGATGAAAGTTTACTATTATATGCAACAATATTTGAATGTTTTTTATGCTTTTTTTGCCAACATGTTAACAGCAAACTTTATTGGAATCAACTATGATCTCTTGAGTCTTGTGCAGATCATAAAAGGAGCACTATTGTGCAGAGTTGATGCTTTAGTAGAGCATTACAAATCTGTCACTTACGGGTTTCCATAAGATTAGAATTTTTGAAATATTTTGGTCACACTTTATTTTAAGGTCCAGTTCTCACTATTAACTATAGTTATAACTGTTAACTATGCCTCAGTCAACTCCTAATTTGCTGCTATTTAATAGTAAGGTAGTTGTTAAGTAAGGGAGAATGTACATCCAGCCGGTTCATAAAGCCCTTCAGTCTGCTTTACGTCGGGCTGCTAATAAGCCTGTCGGACTTTATTCTGTGACAACAAATGGCTGGATGTACATTATCCCATTTAATACATGGCTACTTGCCACAAAACTAAATAATTAGACATGAAATATTGATTTGAGTTGAAATAATTGAATGCAAAGCTTCTGTGAAGAAAGCAGTTGCTAGCAAGTGGCAAGATGGACATTTAGAAATATTGTCATACTACTTATTACACAGCATTTCACCACATGAATATTTATGGCGATAAAAGATATTGATTGAAGAAAAAACTGTTTTAAAATCGTACCAGTTTGTTATCTTACAATCCATTACAGTGTACAAAACAATCATTGCAAAATGGCAGCAGCTGCGTTTGTATGAAACAGAGACAGCGAGTCCGCTATACCAGGATGATATTATTTAATATTTGTACAGAGAATATTGATTTGAGTTGTAATATTTCATTAGCCAACCAAACACAAAGCTTCCACAAAGAAAAAAAAATTCCCAGCAAGCGAATAGCGCCGATTGCAGTTACCCGGATGAGCCTGTGTCATTAGTTTTTACTGGTTATTATCGGGTTATAATTGGTCCAGGGTCACATATGCAACTAGTTAATAGTGAGAATTGGTCCCTATACTGAAGTGTTACCAATATTTCCAAAAAATGTACATATGATACTCCCCTACAAATTAGCCTATTAAAACAAAGCAGCTTACTAGGTTTTAGAAAGGAGCTATAGCAAACTCTGACTGTGTGGTGATGAATAAAGATAGTTGATCAAAAAGTGACAATGGTTGCATTGAGTTATCATCAGCATGATCAACTGAAATCAGCTACAGTATGTGTAGAATGTTGGGACAGCAGCAGCTGGATTTGGTATCATGTGGTTTGGAATCTCCAGCCATGCCACCAGTTCCTGTGTGACAGCGTCTGCCACATGAGTCCGGACCAAAGAAGACAGACAGTGGGGATGAATGTCATAGCTAGACAGTGGCAGAATGAATGACTTCCCACAGCTGTACATACTGTGCTGTGTGTTACACTAACTCACATTCCGGAGTCTATTCACATGCACCTAATTTTAGGTAAGGTAGGAGACTGTCTGAGATACCTTCTTTTCACCAAATCTACACCCTTAAAAGTGAAGGTTCTTTATTGACATTGATTGATTCATTGAAGAACATCCATGGAACCTTTCCATTGGACAAAAGGTTAAAGTGAAAAAGGTTCTTCAGCTTATTAAAATGTCCTTCACACTTTTTTTTAAGAACTGTTCACTGAAAGGTTCTTTGTGGAGCCAACATGTTCCTTCTTTTGGCATCTTTATTTTCAAGAGTGTACCTATAGAAAGTACAGGTGCAGAAGATGAATTGGCACCTTCTGAAGAAGAAAAACTAACAGGCAGATTAAAGTAGATGAGTTTTATGATCTACTTAGGTTTTTGGTAAACACATCCCAGGTAGTTTCAGTGTTAAAATGTCTTCAAGTTATTCATGTTGAGTTATAATATTCATGGCCACACTTGGTCCAATTCTCCCTATTAACAAACCATTAACTATGACTTTTGCCTCAATAAACTCCTAATTTGCTGCTTATTAATAGTTGGTGAGGTAGTTGTTAAATTTAGGTATTGGGTAGGATTAGGGATGTAGAATATGGTCTTGCAGAATATGTGCTTTATAAGCACTAATAAACAGCCACTATGTTAATAATAAGCATGCTAATAAGCAACTAGTTAATAGTGAGAAGTGGTCCCTAAAGTGTTTCCATATACTCTTCACTGGGACAAAACTAAAAACCTTAGTATATAAATGTTTATAGTAATGTTTTACATCTTGTACCATTTCAAAGTTCTCATCAGGTCTCTTTCCCGCACTCTACCATAATGCATATAATAAGAAATTTAAAATGGCCACAAATATAATCTAGAACAGCTTTTATAGTCAAACCTATCATCATTTTGTCAAACAAATTCAATAAATAAAAGACAATCTCTGGAAACTGGATGCTTGATCCTTAAGTCAGTTTTAGATCTTTAATTGATAACATTTACTCCAGTGTTACAGTAAAGACACCAACAGGCTGAAGGTAGTAAATACCAAATACAAGGTTCCCACTAAAGCTACTACTTCATACAGCAGAATAAATTATACCATGATAACGTACACACATGCTGAAAGGAAATGGGAGAAAAGCATAAACACAAATGCTAACGAAAGCAGGTGCCCAGTTTGACGTCCCAGAGGGGCATGATGGGTAATATTTTTAATATCCAAATGTTGATTAACAAAGGTGTTAGCTGTGAATGTTCTATACTAGAAGTATTTTCATTGCTCATTTGATAAAGATATCGACAGTTGAAAGGGAAGTGGGCGGGGTTTGGGTCAGGTGGTTTCTTGAAGAGTTCTTTTCCCCTTAAATGCACCCAATAAAACGTTCGTTGAGGAATTCATTGAGTCAGAAGCAGTCAGTTAGCACCAAACACTGCTGTGTTTCCCACAGTCCGTTACATGAGCCATCAGTCACCTCCAAATGTTACAAATGTCAATATTTAATCTTCATTATGGATCCACAGATTTGTAGCTAGGAATCATAAGCAAACGATTCACCTTCCAGTCAGTTTTAAGTGCGACTGTCTTTTATCAAGAGCTTCTCACGTTGAATCCTAAGAAAAATGATACATAATAACTATCGAAAGCAAAGAAACAAAAGCAGTGAATATAAACACAAAATTACAATATAAGACTTACACATATCCCCTGCTTCATCTACCACACAACACCTTTGCTGTTTTAGTATAAAACATATTCTTTATAAACAAACAATAAACGATCTGCTTCATCTACTGTACAGTTCCATTTATGTGTCAAAATGTCACTTGTGAGTGCTACACAAATGTCGAAATTTCACAACTTTTTTTGTACAAACTTGTGAATACATGGGATCTTAATTACAGGAGCCCTGGCGTGTGTATTTGCATTAGTTTGTCAAATAAAAAAAATAAAATGAAATGGGAACGTAAGAAAGAGGTTGAGATGGATTATTTGATTGGTCACTTCTGTAATCTGATCAGAGGCAGAAATAGGTGGAATGTTGTCAAAATTATCATAAAGTGTCAAAAGTATAGGGCCAGTTAGATTTTTTTAAGATAAATTTATTATTTTATTCAGCAAAGATTCAATAAATTGATTAAAATTGACAGTAAAGACATTTATAACGTTATGATGAACATGCTATAATATATGCTGTTCTTTTGAACTTTCTATTCATTAAAGAATCCTGGAAACTAAAATGATCATGGTTTCCACGAAAATATTAAGCAGCACAACTGTTTTTGAAACTGATAATTAGAAATGTTTTTTGAGCAGAAATCAGCATATTGGAATGATTTCTGAAGGATCATGTGACACTGAAGACTGGAGTAATGATGCTGAAAATTCAGCTTTGCATCAAAGGAATAAATTACATTTTAAAAATATTTTCAAATAGAAAATGCTTTTTTAAATTGTAATAATATTTCCTGTTTTTACTGTATTTTTGATCAAAGGTATCATCTTCAAAAATATTTATCATACTGACCCCAAACTTTTAAACGCTGTAGTACTTGGTCTAAAATCCACTTGTGCATTTGAAACATGCTACTTTGTTAATAAAAGCAAACGGTATAATCTAAATGGAATGTTAAATGTTTGCATTGCTTAACTCAAAACCATAATAGAAATGTTTAAAACTATAAATTTTTGTCTAGTTTGAGAGCAAAGTGTTGCTTCACTCTAGAAAATTAAAGAATAAAATTTAGAAAAAACTTTCTAAAGCCAGTATCCAGACAATGTCGTTTTCTTTCCCCCAGATGATCGCTGAGGACAAAACTGGCATTCGAGCGAGGGAAAAATCGCTGGTCCTCTAAAAGCACTGCTAATTCCCAGCAGAAAGCCAGACTTCCTACAGAGTGGCCAAGTTTGCATGGAATGTCAAGTGAAATATGAAGGCAGAGAAGGTCAAATCGCTCAGGAACATTACGGCTGGAAAGTGAAAAACCAGCAGTCACACTTTCAACACACACTCGATCCCCTGTTCGTTTTAGCCCACTGCTAGCATTTCACGTAAAAAACTTCGGGGTTTGAATTAGTAAAAAATGCTACGTGTGGATCTTGAAAAAACGAAACGAAACAATAGTTACGATAATCATAATTACAACAACTGTAATAACAATATCGATAGAAAACAAGCGAGATTATCCATTGTAATGACACAGAGATTCATACACGACTATGCACAGCGAGGTGAAAGTACGTTTTGGAAATGGCTCGGAATGCGTCCTTGCGTCCGTCGACGTGCCTGCAGCCGTTGCATGGTCCTCTTGTCCGAGTTAGAGGTACAAGACAAGCCCAGAATCACGAGAAGGTCACGTCAAATGGAATGGCAAGAGTTTCTTGTCTTGAGAATCAGAGTAAAAGCCTCTCACGCTCGTGCCGGCGGATGCACTGAAGAGCTCCAGCTGTTTGGAGGAGGTGTTTGTGCATCTGAGAGCGTGTGAAGGTGTGTGTGTAGTGATCGGACTCAGTAAGCCTGTCCCGTCTCCACCTGCAGAAGTCCCAGCACCGCCGAATGATCGCCCAGCTTCATCCTTCTCTGAGTCGATAGACTCACGTTCTTGGCCAGATAGTCCACAGCGGCTGTAGGAAACGACACACAAACACGTTCTCATGAGTAGGACGTTCCACGTAAGAGCAGTCTCACACCAGTTTATGCATTAATAAAACACCACTAGCAAACAGAAGGCCTTCAGTTTGATTAGTTCAAATGGTTTCAATGAACCGGTTCAAAAATGGATTCAAATGTACATACATTGGACTTTTTGTTGTTTATTTACTGATGCTGGACCATTCCTCTTTTTAGATATATTTTTAGTTTTACTGGTTGTATTTACTGTATATAAAAAAGAGACACAATTATAATTTTAAAAATCAGTTTCATAAACAATGGCATTTAAAAAAATGTTATTTATGGTTTCAGCATGGTTTACTCCCAAACACAGCTTTCCCTTGTACTTTGTGAATCAGTTCATGTAGTGTTATTTTATTTATTATTTATGTTATTAAAATAGTATTATTGTGAATTAGCTTTTATTTTTATATTTTCAAAAATATATATTTTTTATATGTATATATTTATTTTTATTTATATTAATTTATTATAGAATTTACTGTATATTTTTTAGAAATGTATAGTATATTTACATTCAATTTCTTCTATCTATCTATCTATCTATCTATCTATCTATCTTAGGTAATTTTAATACTTTATAAACCTTAAAAGAAAATTAGTTGCTTTGGTAACTAACTGAAATAAATAAGTTTACATTTTAGTTTATATGAAATTACTTTTTTCATTTATTCCAACAATTGGAAATATTTTTTTTTATAGATTTAGTAAACTGTGACAACAGTGATTCAATCGAATCATTAAAACAGAACCATCACATTTGTGATTCAAACATCACTACTGACACAGTCCACCACACGTGGCACAGTATTACATGTTTAATACAGTCACTGGTCACTTCTTTAAACTTCTGACTAGAGTATTCAACAAATGGCACATATAAAGATTAATAAAAGATATTAGAAAACTAAAATGGGCATTTAGTCAATCAAGGGCCAGAGAGACGGGAACGCCTGGTGTCATTCATTCAGCTCTGTGTGTGTGTGTGTGTGTGTTTGTGTGTGCCAGTCTTTATTACTCTGAGCGTTTGAGATTTCATGCTTCATACTCGCCTCAATTTCAGCAGCTCTCTCGTCTGACTCATTAAACAGATCAGTCCTCTCAATCTCACTCATAATTAACCTGACATTCGCTCGTCAGATCTCTTCAATCAACCCTCCTGCACCTTCTGATGGACCTGACACTACTTCACACTCCCACACACACACGTTTACCTACACATCTCACCGCAGACAAACCACAGACCTCTATAGAGCTCATTATAATGACTACAGACTAACCCAAATCTCAAAACATGCATTTTTGCATGAAAAAAAAAAAGATTTTGAATCATTTTAATAAATCTTTGAAGACATCCTCAAAGGGAGTTTTGTTAGATTTAGATAACCTCTGGGGAACAATTTTATCCCCAAACTAAAGTTTGGACACAATATCTCAAGGTTTGTAAGACATACATCACAAAACACGAAACCACTGACTTCTGTCACAACATCAGCCTCTGATTATGTTAATTCAATCAATCAATTCTTTCCTGCCCTGAAGCTTGTGTGTATGTGTATGTGTGTGTGTGTTTATGTGTGTGTGTGTGTGTGTGTGTGTGTGTTTGTGAGGGGTCAATAAGGACATTAGGACCCTTGGGGTGTAAAAGTGGGCTTTGAAGTGTCCGTTTCCCATTCGAGGGAAGAATACTGTGACTAACAGTGGAGCCCGGGGCCAGTGCTGGGGTCTTTATCAGGAGCATCTGTCTGCCCTGCTCTGATGGGCAGAGGGGTCAGAGAGACGGGCACTGCTCACCCTCAGAGAGGAAACACACTCTAACTGTCGATACGCACAGGGCATCAGTGTGACTAAACTATAGTGGATTCCCTACTGAAAAGATCAGCGCGTGCTGTACTGGCTCACCAGGGATGCATTTATCTGATTAAAAATACAGTAAAAACAGTAATATTTTGAAAAGTTATTACAATTTCAAATAACTGTTTTCTCTGTGAATGTATTTTAAAATGTCATTTATTCCTGTAATGCAAAGCTTAATTTTTAGCATCATTTCTTCAGTCTTCAGTGTCCTTCAGAAATAATTATAATATGCTGATTTGCTGCTCATTTATTATCAGTTATTACAGGTGATCAATTATTAATAATGGCTTTGTGGAAACTGGTACATTTTAATAGATTTGTTGATGAATAGAAAGTTCAAAAGGACAGCACTGATTTAAAATGGAAATCTTTTGTAACGTTTACTGTCTTTGCTATTCTTTTTGATCCCTTTAATGCATTCTTGCTGAATAAAAGTATTAATTTATAAAAAAAAAAAAAAGTACTAACCACAAACAGTTTATGGAAAACAATTAACTTAACTAATTTGAGCTGAATGGCTTTTGCATTAAATGCAAGCTATAAACGAAACCATAAACTAGACCAATTATGTAAAATAGGTGATTTTGAGTCATCTGTCCAGAACCAAGACCAGCATTTAGATTTTCGTTTACTTTATCGCAACAATCTTGGACCACAAAAAGGCCAAAACACGATATATACTAACTTTTAAAATTTTTATTTTTTTCTTTATATTATCTATCTATCTATCTATCTATCTATCTATCTTTTTTTTTTAGCAGTTATGGATTAAATTGATCAAAAATGATGAATGATTAATAATGATAGACATTTATAATGTTACAAAAAAATCGGAAATAAATGCAGTTTTTTAAAAAACTTTCTATTAACTAAAGAGTCCAATATATTATGATTTCCACAATTTTTATTAGGCAGCACAACTGTTTTTAACATTAATAATAATCATGTTTCTTAAGCAGCAAATCAGCATATGATAATGATTTCTGAAGGATCATGTGACACTAAAGACTGGAGTAATGATGCTATAAATTCAGCTTTGCATCACAGAAATAAATGACATTTTAAAACATATTCAAATAAAAAAAAAAACTGTTATTTGAAATCGTAATGATATATACTGTTTTCTTTGTATTTTTGATGAAATAAATGCACCCTTGGCGAGACTTACCGACACATTTTCAACAGCAGAGACATACAGACACACACAGAGCATATAATGGAGGGGCGGTACATACTCTGGCCGTACTGGCTGTACTGGTATCTAGCAGTGACGGGGTCCATGCTGTAGCTGGTGGCGCTGTATGTGGGGGGACAGTAGGACTGAGAGGAGGCCAGACTGTCCACACTCTTGATGGGGTCTGAACGCTGGCTGCAGCTCGCTGAGATGGAGTTAGACACCTCCAGACTGCCGTGGAGAGGAGAGATGGAGAAATCGTGCTGAGGCTGGGACGGGACGCCACTGGGGTTACTCAAAATACTCATCACCTAGAGAGACGCAAAGACAGAAGCAGCTGTTTAGCAAGTTTTGCATTTAATTCTGACCAAGAATAACTAACTTGCATGTAAAATGACCAGTAAAGCACAGTTTGCTTTTTATGCAACCTTTAGAAGAATATAGAGGAATATCGCATTCACCTTCTACTTAGTGTCTCAAACAAATCTTGTGAATACACCATCGTGCATCGTATTTGAGGAATGAAATACAGTACATGTTTCTTACTATTTTCGGATGCTGATTCCAGAAAACAGTGCCTGTTTTGCTTAAGCATGTCACACTTTCTCACAAAATATGATGCATTTTGTATCATTCTTTCTTTCTAGAACCATTTCTAAGGCTATAGAAGTCTTGTATTTTTCCTTAATCACCAGAGTTTACAATGATTTGTTCAATTCTGAGCCGATTTTTACATGCATGAATGATTCTGACATTATTTTATGCTTAACCCTGATTTCCATTTTCTCCACACAAGCAAGACTTCTGACAATTGATTTCCTTTGTTATTTTTTATAAGAACATTAAAGCTGATACATATACGTATATGCAATTAGAAAAATCTTCATTCTTATTTTGTGAAAAACTACATGATAGGAACTCAGCATCATCAAATTTGATCATATTAAGCCTTTTTTGCACAGGGCTGTGATATCTTTCAAAGATTTGATGCTTTTTGATCTTTTTGGCATGTGTTTGAGAGTGGCATATTATGTATTAATACAAACACTTTAACTCTGAACTCTTTTGCAGATATTTAATGTTCTGATTTATCAAACAGTATAATAGCAAGAGTTCTTCTCACACGGCAGGCCATTCTCAGGGCAAAGCGGAGGGAAGGGACAGAGAGTGAATTCGTGCCAGGCACAGAGCGCAACCAGCGTCCCAGAGTGATTAGCAGCGGCCAGAGAGAGTGATACAGCAAAAGAAAAAGACAGGGGAACGAGGCCAGACCCATTAGACCCCAGCGGCAGTGCCAAAC